ACTGCGGAGATCAATGCAGGAGAACAATCAACCCTGACCGACTGTTTCTTTCTACCAAAGAAAAAGAAAAGAACATAGCAAAATTTTAAAATAGTGTTTACAGTTTTATTTCTGCTGGCCTAAGTTCATTCTATCTCTTCCATGTTGTTGCGGTTTGTATTGCCCTCGACTTCCATTCTTTCCGATAGTTGCATGCTTTTTGCAACATCAACTTTTGTGTGCAATCGACTTAGTCATCGCCCAAAAAATAAGTTTTTCCACCTATTTCCACTTTTTTCCAACTTTTTCTGCCCGTGAGACTGACAGACTAGTCATTTCCTGGTGTTTTGCGGCAGTTGTATCAAAACTCCTAACAATGACAACATGGGAATGGAGGGGTTCGGAGCACAGCCGTAGGATTCCTGACGCCCCAACTGTGGCTAAACTACTCCACGAACTCAATATGGATTATATAGCTACGTTTGGGCGCGGCAAGAATCGCAAACAGAGCGCAGCCGCCATCAAAAAAATTTCATGAAGTTTTTTTGCAAGCCATGGACGAGGTTTGCAGATTGGAGAGTCGACATGATGATTGGTGCGGTTTTCAGTTGGATTTCTCATGGAATGTATTTTGAATCTATTTTATTCTACAATCGGCTTGGTTGGCTTGGCCAAAGCGTCTCGGTTTGAAATTGAAGGAGGAAGCCTCCCTTTTCCAATTCCGATTCAGCCAATTCTGATACAAGTGGTGGGCACACATCAATCAGCTGGATTATTGTTGCGACTTGACGGCCTTAATCTTCAAGAACTTGCGGCTCCAGTGGTACCCTTAGATCTTTTGGGAAGCTAGTTGGCCAGCAACAGTCGCCTTTTGTATTATCCAAGTTGAATGGCGGGATCTTTTGATACAACAGCTCCCTTTTGGGAAAGCAACAACCAACCCTACTACTTAGCTCAAACGGGAATCCTTTCCCATCATTAACTTGAGGTTGGGACAGTACGTTTTGGCTCTCAGGAAGGGCAACGTCACGGCAAAAACCGGTCGCTGCTGTATGGTTCTGTTATGCCATGGTATTGGGAAAGCGCATTTCAGGAGTTCGGATGCCTGAACCTAAACCTAATACTATATCACCCAATTCCCCCCTTCATTCATATATTAACATCTATTATAAAATTAGAATTACTGAAAAAGGTTGAATACTTAAAAAGATATGGCCGATAGCATTTTGAACTATTGGATATTTGGTACATTTTCGTTTATTATATTCAAACTTCTTACTAGATTAAGTTACGAAATTGAAAAACTACGATAAAATAAAAGAGCCTATGCGCTTTCTGATGGCGAAATTACCGTCCAATTTGGGCTTATTGTTGCCAAGATATCCACCTCTGAAGATGGTCCAAAAACTCATGTCATGTCTTGTTTGTCTACTTGTTTGTCTTCATGTTTTTGTCCGTTTTTTACGTGTTTCCGCACGATTGTACATTACGTTTTCTGGTACATTCTACGTAGTTTGTACAATATATTTGATTTTGGTCATCACGTGTTTCCATGGCGTCGGTCATCACGTTTTCCGGTACATCCTGCGTAGTTTCTAAGCTAGATACGACTAAGTGGAGCAAAAAATGACGAGTTTCTGCCAAAGCTGCCATTGGGTAAAACACAACATTCAGCATTGCAATGGAGTTGGATGACGACCACATCCAAGACATAGCCGCAGCTTGTCTTACTGAGACAAATTTTACGATTTTGCAATCTCCTGCTGGTGCTCTGTGCTTTTGTGGAAAACAGTTGTCCAACAGCTATCTGAGCCGGCACTGGAAGACATGCCCAATTGCAAAGGCATCAGAAGGCGCCATCACTAAGGACAAAGTAAAATACGTCTATGATGCTGAGCCCAAGCAAATGAAGGGTTTTCTCTGTGTGCCATGCGGGCAAATTTACAAGAGTAAAAGCTCTTTTGCCAAGCATTTTTGCGGTGGCAACGAGATCAAGTGCACTACATTGGTCCGGTGCCAGGGAAGTCTGATGAGCTTTTGGAGGAGAGTTCATGGCAAAAGCAAAAAGAAAAAGGGGTACAACAAGATATTTCTGCTGGGCCATTACAAGAAGAATTATCGGATGAGGCAATTCTTTTAATGCTTGGAAAACATTCTGATTTGCTGAAAGAAACTCTGACTGGCTCTTTTAAATGTCCGGATCGTTTGGCGGCAGTCTTGCTTCCATTTGTGAATTCTACAATAGGGTTGACACCACCAGGTAGTTTTGTGCAAGCTGGAATCGATCAAATTCGAGATGATTGCGGGAGTCCCAAGGCATTTGCTGCCGGTGCGGATGAGTGGCTTCGGAGGTTTCTGGAAAAATGATTGCATCTTTGCCAGGGAATGTTTGCTATGAAATGTTGGCATTTTGACTTGACACTGAATATGAAAGTGGTTTCACAGTTCGGAAGAACATCAATCGGTGGCTGCAGAACTGAAAAAGATAATTTATTTTACTTGGAAATCTTTTGGATTGGTCAACGGTTTTAGTGATTGCAAAATATTTGCACAAGTTGTGTTTGCAAGAGGGACAGAATCTTTTGGAAGGTCCACCAGAAATGTTACGATATGCAGCATTCCGGTTCTTTGAGTCTGCTGACACAATCAAAGGTGCTTATGCCATAGGAAGTACTTTGGCTACTATTCTATACATCTGCCGTCTTGGGTGTCTCTCTCAGGCTTTCAGGTGTAGTGGTGTTGACTACATCCAACGTCAGCTCACGCTTTGCAAAGTTGTTCAGCAGGGGCGAGTCTTTCAGACATTGTCTCCACTTATCCGACACGTCCGCGAATATGAGAAGGCAAGAAAGAATGGACGCTCCGGTAACAAATTCACCAGCAAGACGGGGTAATTTTCACAAAATAGGGGCAAAGGGACAGACGGGGTTCATTTCTTCTCAAGCGGGTTGCGTGGCCAATCAAATTGCGATAAAAATAACGGTCATGTCACCTGTGTGAAATGAAAAAAGCTCGAACCGAATTTGGATACGATTCAAAGCGGCCACGCAGGCAGTGCATTTTAGTCCGCCGGTGAAAATAACGGATGTGGAATCTGGAATCCACAAATGTGCAATTCTTTTTCTCCATGATGGAGAAAAAAGATTTCGTTTTCTCCATGATGGAGAAAAATACTTTCTATTTCTCCATTCGGAAGCTGGAGCCAAAAGGTTTCATCAGGGGAAAGAAACAATTGGGGGACAAGTTTTAAGAATAGAAAAGCAAAATGGAGAATGGGTGGAAATGAACAAGTTTCTGCCAAAGCTGCCATTGGGTAAAACACAACATTCAGCATTGCAATGGAGTTGGATGACGACCACATCCAAGACATAGCCGCAGCTTGTCTTACTGAGACAAATTTTACGATTTTGCAATCTCCTGCTGGTGCTCTGTGCTTTTGTGGAAAACAGTTGTCCAACAGCTATCTGAGCCGGCACTGGAAGACATGCCCAATTGCAAAGGCATCAGAAGGCGCCATCACTAAGGACAAAGTAAAATACGTCTATGATGCTGAGCCCAAGCAAATGAAGGGTTTTCTCTGTGTGCCATGCGGGCAAATTTACAAGAGTAAAAGCTCTTTTGCCAAGCATTTTTGCGGTGGCAACGAGATCAAGTGCACTACATTGGTCCGGTGCCAGGGAAGTCTGATGAGCTTTTGGAGGAGAGTTCATGGCAAAAGCAAAAAGAAAAAGGGGTACAACAAGATATTTCTGCTGGGCCATTACAAGAAGAATTATCGGATGAGGCAATTCTTTTAATGCTTGGAAAACATTCTGATTTGCTGAAAGAAACTCTGACTGGCTCTTTTAAATGTCCGGATTGTTTGGCGGCAGTCTTGCTTCCATTTGTGAATTCAACAATAGGGTTGACACCGCCAGGTAGTTTTGTGCAAGCTGGAATTGATCAAATTCAAGATGATTGCGGGAGTCCCAAGGCATTTGCTGCCGGTGCAGATGAGTGGCTTCAGAGGTATTCTGGAAAAATGATTGCATCTTTGCCAGGGAATGTTTGCTATGAAATGTTGGCATTTCGACTTTACCCTAAATATGAAAGTGGTTTCACATTTCGGAAGAACATCGAACCGGTGGCTGCAAACTGAAAAAGATAATTTATTTTACTTGGAAATCTTTTGGATTGGTCAACGGTTTTAGTGATTGCAATTGTCCGCTTGAGGTTCCAAAATATTTGCACAAATTGTGTTTGCAAGAGGGACAGAATCTTCTGGAAGGTCCGCCAGAAATGTTACGATATACAGCATTCCGGTTCTTTGAGTCTGCTGACACAATCAAAGGTGCTGATGCCATAGGAAGTACTTTGGCTACTATTCTATACATCTGTCGTCTTGGGTGTCTCTCTCAGGCTTTCAGGTGTA